TCATCTTACCTACTTATTAAAGGATTAAGCAAATAAATGTGCCCTTTACACAGGAAAGTATGTTCTTGAATTATGTTCCTTTATTTTTCTGCCTACATGCCATTGCCTTCCATACCAGCTGCATGAATTAGTACATGAAGGACTTGCAGCATGTGGTAACAGCTTATTCTTGGTCAAGAGACGTGCATCCATGCCTAAAGGGATTGCTGCACCTCATTTCTGTGCTGCTAGAGTTGTATAAATAAGACATATGATGACCAGGCAAAGTTATAACAGTTTAGCACCAAGTGTCACAATGAAGTGTAAGAACTTGATATATGTGGACTCTGTTCCAGAACTAGCTTCTCTCTGAATTAGTGCAACCTAGATAAAATACAGGCTTAGTATATTTGGCTGGTGTTGGTTTAGTCAGACCTAAACATAACTTTTGCTTTGTGCAACTGATTGTTTCTCCTACCTGTCCCTCAGTACTATGTATCACGTGAGGGGGGAAAATGTCTGAGATTCCTAAGAGGTAGGCTGAAGCATTACTAAAAAGCCAGGTTGTTGTTAAATTCAGGTTGAATTTGGCTGTCAGACACCTGGTATAGGTCTCCTCAGTACCCTGGGAGAGGAGTGCCACTGCTGATCCGTCTTAATTCTACAGATAATGGTTTTGGCAATGGATTATATATTTAATGGTCGACTTCAGGATCTCTCTTCCCTTTGTTTTGATCTGGCATCAGAAGTAGCATAAGGAACACAGTGACTGGTGCTGAGGAGCATGTTTAGCAGTTAGTTGGCTTTTGTAAAGGGTCGAGTGAAAGGGACCTGCAAATGCAAGGTTCTGCTTCTGAGGTAGGAGGGAGGGGGAGGAGCTGACTTGCTGGACTCGGTGATCTTAAAGGTCTTTTCCAAGAAGAACCTGAAAGGTTCTATGATTCTATTTGGCCTATAAGGGCTGCAGAGAGGTGCAGCTGGGTGTTGTAATCTGTGTTACCTAACGTCTAGCCTAGTTTCTGTTGAAAGATCTGATTAATTTTGGGGTTTCATTAATGTGGGTTTTGGAACAAATTAAATGTGACCAAGGTTCCAGCAAGGATCTGAAATTTGTTTTCTGCTGAAGAACTCTTTATACAAATGAACACTAATTTGCATCAATAAGCACACGTTTCACTCGGGCTGCCCAACAGGATTGAACACAGACAGAAATTGCCTCTTGCAATGTCTTTCTTGGTGACCACCACTTAGGCCCAACTCCTGCTTTGGCGCACGCGTGTGTGTGTGTGTGTGTGTGTGTGTGTGTGTGTGTGTGGCACCAGCTTGTACAGGACACGTACGTGTGTGTGTGTGAGGTACAGGCACACTTGGAGCACACACAGTGAGCGTGCAGGAAGTTCACGTGTGTGCACGGTGAGGAGGGCCCTGTGTGGTAAGCAGGGTGTGTGTGTGTGTGAGCGTGGATGCGTGTGCGAGTGCACATGTGTGTTTCTGGTCAGCATGTGTGTCTCAGTGTCTCTGTGTGTGACGTGCTTACATGAGCAGGTGTGTGTGCACTGAGCACGTCTTTTGCAGGTGTGAGCGTGCACACTGTGCACGGGTGTGCTAACCGTGGGACCCCGCACACAGGCACGGGAGGGTGTACTCACTGCCCTGTGTGTAGCAGCTGTCACCATCCCTCTGCACCCCTGTGCGTGTGTGCCTGTAACACACATGTGTGCACAGACACCCGAGGCCCTTGCGGGGGGGACACTGAGGGGGGCCGAGCCCCAGGGCAGGGAGGTCCCCGAGGGGGAGTGGTGGCAGACAGCAGGCAGGGCGCGGGCAGGGTGGCTGGGGGCCGTGACCCCCCTGCCCGCTCCGGCAGGTCAATGTTGAGGACACTGTCGAGATGCTGCCCAAGTCGCGGCGCGCGCTGACCATCCAGGAGATTGCCGCCCTGGCCCGCTCCTCGCTGCACGGTAACTGCTCGTCTGGCCCGCGGTGCGGGGGTGCCTGGGGGCGCCATCCAGAAAATGGGGGGGGGTCTCCTGTGGGTAAGGGGCCTGGGCTTCTTGGAGAGGGTATTGGGGTTGCCCCTCTGGGGTTTGGGGGTGTCCCTGGTGGGACACAAGAGGAGGGCAATGGGGGGTGCCAGGTCCCTAGGGCCAGAGGTGAGGGCTGCGGGGTCCCAGGGTCATGGGCTCCATGGAGGGGACTCGGGGTGCCCAGGGGGGTGCTGACGCGGGGGCACATCTCGCAGGCATCTCGCAGGTGGTGAAGGAGCATGTGACGAAGCCAACAGCCATGGCGCAGGGCCGTGTCGCCCACCTCATTGAGTGGAAGGGCTGGTGCAAGCCGGTGGAGCCGCCGGCCGCCCTGGAGAGCGCCTTCAGCTCCTACTGCCACCTGAGCGAGGGCGAGCAAGAGGCGCGCTTCGCTGCTGGTGGGCACCGCGTGGGGCACGGCCGGTGGGCACGCTCCCCACCGTGGGCAGGGGTGGTGGGCCGGGTTGTCCCCATCCCACTGTCCCTCCATCAGCGTCACGGCACTGCGGGCACAGAGGTGCCTGGGCAGAGGGATCCGGGGGCACCTCCCGGAGCGCGCGTGACCCATGCCTATCCCATGCCAGGCGTGGCAGAGCAGTTTGCCATCGCTGAGGCCAAGCTGCGAGCCTGGTCCTCCGTGGACGGGGACGACTCCAACGACGAATCCTACGATGAGGACTTCCTGCCCTCCACGGAGAGCTCCCAGCCCGCCGGTAAGCATCACAGGGAGCAGGCACCCACCGGGTGGGCACGGTGTCCCGCTGCCAGTGCCAAGGGTTGAAGGAGTCCGGGGTGCCCAATCCCTGACCACCTTCCCCACACTGGCCACCCCCTTGCAGGGCAGTGCCCCTGCCTGGCACCGTGGCAGGCAGTGCCATGCAGGGATGGGGAAGCCCTGCGATGTAACGCTCCCCAGCGCCAGAGTGTATTGTGCTTTTCCTTTGGTGGTCACCAGTGCCATGCACACAGACATTTGTGGGCAAATGGTGCCTGGCACAAGGCTGCTCCCATCCTGCAGGGCATGGGGGGGGGTGCAGGTGGCAGCCCCCGGTGCCATCAGCCCTGCACTGACCCCGGGCATCCCGGTTTCCCGCAGAGCTGCCCGGCACGGTGCCCGCCAGCGCGCTGCTGCGAGACCTGCTGCAGGGCCACCTGTGCCAGCTGGGCATGCGACACGGCTCCTGCGAGCCCGAGAGCGACTCCTCGCACACTCTCTCCCCTGAGACCCTCTGCTCCAGCCTCTGCAGCCTGGAGATGGTGTCCCCCTCCGAACTCACTGCCAAACTGCTGGGCTCCCTGGGGGGCGAGGACCTGCTGCTGCCCAAGCTGCCCCCCCCAGCCAGCCAAAGTGCCTTGCGGGGCCTGGCACGGCTCCGGTGCCAGGACTCCCTCTACTCCGTGTCCTACGCCGAGGCCTGCCTCTCGCCCGCTGAGGATGAGGTGGTGCTGAGCAAGGACTTCCCGCTCCACCGGAAAGTCTCCGACGTCGCGTCCTCCGGGGTGGCATCGCTGGAGGAGGAGGAGGAGGCTGAAGAACCCTGATGCCCCCCTGGGGTGCCCTGCCTCTCCCGGCGGGGGTCCAGCCCCCCCGCC